CAGCTGACTCCACCAATACTTCATCGCTTGACGAATATCTCACGTACCGAGTATAACAATATGGTACAACTAAATACGAACCTCTTTCATGGCATTAACACGAGAAGAAACGCTGGCTTGTCGAAGACTGTAGATGTTTCTCCTGTACACCAGATGAAAGGCCTGACGGATTTGTCGAGCATCTATCCACAGCCTTTTTGGCCGAGGCTTCGAGTGCGCAGTCGTATTCCTAGAACGAGAAGCCGCGTGCTAACTGCACATATCAGCTCAAAAAATGGCAAGCTAGAGCGGATTCTTCCACCCATTGAAGCTCAGCTAGGTCTTACAGAATCCTATAGAATGGAATGCAAGTAACATGCGAGGAACATGCGAGCCGGGGACGGTCAGCGTGCTTGGGATACAATATTGGCCCATAAGCAGCGCCGACAACCGAATGTCAGGGGTATTCTAGGAAGTTAGGCGTTCTATCATCGCGATTACATATACTGTATACTGGTTGTACTATGTTGGTATACTGGATGCTCGTGATTGTGTCACTCATGCTTTTCTAAGAGTTCTGTTGAGCAGCCAATTTTCTTTTATATGAATAATCAACCAGCAATAAGGCACCACAAGAGGCAACGATTTGTGCATAGTCGAAATGTTACAGATATTGGATTTGTATTCTACGCTGGGTGGATGAATAAAGCAAAGAATAGAAATGCCATCCAAAACGGGCAGTGTTCCTGAAATTAAGCATCAACCTATTGAACTTACAGTGATTGTCATTTGGCCGTCATGAACAGTACTCGTCTTTCTATCTTCTATTTTTGGTGAGGCGGAGATGGTGTAGTGACAAGTGGGGCGCTCACCATTCGCGCGGTCCCGGGTTCGAATCCCGGGTCGACTCCCGCCCAGGCCAACCAAGCCTTCTACCCTCCGGGGACGGTGAATTGGTACCAGATTCGTCTGGGAGGATAAAACACTGACTTGTACATCGGCTGGCCACCGCAAGTCATTGTATAGGCCACATCGCATTCAATAAGCCACTACGATTCTGAATGGAAGTAGAATGCGTGCCGCATCCCACAAAGGGATTGATCAACGGCGAAGACTTTATCCTTTATCCTTAATCAGTAACCTTTGCCATTCAAAGGCACGGTCCGCGATCAGGTATAGAAGTTGAAAATATGGCGTCGGGAGGGTAGTGTGGTCCGCGACGAACAACCTTGTACCGGTTTCGCGGCAAAAAATTGTAAGGGAGGGGCGCTATAGCGCAATATAGGTTCAGTGACGCCTCCTTTTTTCCAGTGACTCCGCCTCCAGACTCCGCCTTCAAGGCCCACCTTCAAGTGAAAAACGAAACTGCTAGGACGAACAAGCATGGGAATCGTCACCTGTAATCGTAGAGTTCTTATAGGGGATCAGCTGTGCGGATGGGGGCGTAGTGTTGGAGATGGAGTTAATTGGGCACGTACAAACTGGGATCAAAATGGGGTTCTATCTAGGGCAGTGGCATGTTTTTTCTGCTTTTTTCTTCACTGTCGAGTTACTCAGGACCTTGTCGTCTATATGCAAACCCCTAATCCACTATCGTGATGGCGAATGATCGCGGGCTTTGCCTTTAACTTTGAAGAAAATGGCAACTTCCACTGGTTTGACTGTTCAGTATTCGCTTCGGATATATCGGAGCGCTTTTGGCGTCCATATTTGTGGAAAGACTCTTTCACAGTCTTACAAGGACAACGAGTTCTTTGTCGAGTTCCCGGAATTCTGGGCAATAAGTAGCTTTCCACATGGGAAAACACTCACCTCAGCAATTCATTTTTCTGCTCCCAGACAAGTGTTTCTACTAGCAGCTCCTACCAGCCTTTAGGGAGTTCAATCTTACTTACCAGTTTCAGCATATTTCGCGCCCTCGGGAGGTTTTTGCCCTTCTTGTTCGTAACCAGTCCTTGAGCAAGTCTCGACCTTAATCGCCTCATTACGATAGATTACAACTGAAGTGCCTCTCTCAAACAGATGATAAAGATGAACTGTTGAAGATGTGGAACATAGTAAAATTGAACTGAACCTTCTGTAGTTGTGACCTTCAAGTGCAGCATTTCTTATCCGGTCATTCACACCGCTATTTTGTGGGCACCTCATGTTGTCTAAAACAATGGAGAGCGTTGCCATATCCTTTTTTTCGAAGAATAAGCGAAAGCATTAACGCATTTTTGTTGAAGTGGTTCTAAGGGCTGAACGTCTAAACAGTACAATCTTGTGGTTTTATTGAATGTGGCTCACCTTGGATTCACAGTTGTTGTTACCACCACCGGCGCTGGTGTTGGTGCTGGAGGTTGCACTTGGCCTTGGTTGTTTCCATTATTATTGTCGTAATCGCTATAGTCGTAGTCGTCTTCGTCATTTGTCATTGTTGTTGTAGCTAGCTGGAACAATATATAATATGATATCATATTTTATGTTTGTGAAAATATCGAAAATATTCGAAAATCAACCGGGGCATAGAACTGACCACCTAGACAAGAGAAACTCGAAGCAGGGAACGCATTGTAGCAGTGTCGGCTAGTATTCCAATCCTTAGTTGAATAGTGGTTACAGCTCCGCCTCCAGCTACCATATTCGCGAAGTCCGATTTCTCTTTCTTACTAACATTTCGAGCACTTGAAAGCACATAGACTAGTGCTCAGTTCTCATCCACTTTGTCGTCTCCCACATGGTACCAAATAGCGTGTAAAAAATTCAATAACTGTAAAACGGGGGAGGCTCGTAACGTGTCGCGGTCCCACAAAGAAAATTTTCATCAATTTCCATCATAACAAAATGATTTTTTTAACAATTTTTTCTCTTCCGAAGTTCAAAAAGGATTGCCACGCGTCGCAGTTGAGAGAGTTTTCCATTGCGAATTTCGTAATATTACTTTTACATCTGAAGATCCTATGCACTATCTGGTATCAGGTAAAGGCAAATGATGGGGTGAAGGCAGAATTCCTTAAGGTTATGGACCAGCAGTCCGAAGCCAGCTCTACTCAATGGCTTTTGGGCGTCCATAGCTGATTGGAGCGAAATGTGGACGCACCCGTCACACAGCAGGTATGTCCACAGCAGGTCACCTCTAGTAATTTCCAACCTTCTTCTTAGCTTTCGCCAGCCAGTTTTGGAGGAAAGTTATGTAGGCAGCAGCAGAAGCTTTGACAATCTTGCTCGCTTTCAGTAAATTGAAATAAATCGGTTCAGTCATGTCCGCTAGCGGTTTCTCATTTCATGCTATCTTAGAGTATTCTACCGTCGACCGCCAGATCCTAGAAATGTTCCGCCGGCTTGTGTACAAGAGCAACGACTCAGAGACCCATGAGACATGGTGATCCCTTGTGAAGTTTTATTTTCACTTATTTATTTATTTATTTCCATACACTCGAGGTGTGCCCATAAAAACTATAAAAAATACACCGTGAAAGGACCATGGCGGAAACTACAGATGGGCTCGACGCATTAACGCAACCATGAACCTGACATCCGATAACAAACACGAGTCCTGGAGACAGGGCGCTAATCCCCTTTATCATCATCATCATCATCATCATCATTTATTGGTAATCACAATGTTACAATAGAAGGAAGGCAACTCAGGATAATACCATTGATTGACTTGATTTTGCACTGAGGTTAAACTGATTGGAATACATTGGATGCCATACTGAAGTAATTATTAAATATTTTGTTTATT